ATTCTGTGAGCACATATGTGTATATGCAAATTCATAGAATAGCTCAACAACAGATACCACCTGGTATTGATGGTCCCTTGCCGCCGAGAAGAGAGGGAACAGGACTTCAGAAGAGGGCTCGAAGGGCCATGCCTCTGTCCGTCCTGTGCACACACTGTAAGAAGTACTCTCTGAGAATATCCTCTGAACCCCAAATCAGCCACTGCCTGCTCCAGGCCTCAGCATTCCCCACCCCTCCCTGGGCGCCCAGGACTCCAGTCCCTGCCGGCCGTCCCCAGGGGTGTCGGGGAAGTTGCTTTACCCGGGTAAGCAGCAAGACTCCTGAATGCTCTTTACGTGCCGAGGTCCACGTGTTTCTCTCATCACTAGCTGTTTCCCCGTCCCAACTCGGAGGATCAAGGAAAAAACCCCACTGTGAAAAGGAGTGTTGAGCTGCTAGACGACTAGGAAAGCCATCTGATGTTAAATGGGTGGTAACTGCTGCCGCAGGAGCAGAGGCTCGGGCAGGATTCGCTCCGGCCGGGACTGCACTGGCTGTCTTCCACTCTGTCACATGAACCAACGACAAGAGGACCGCAGCCCTGGAGGCGAAGCAGGGAAGTCACACCTGGACAATTTTCAGGAGGGTAGCGTAGTGCAAGAAGGTCGTCTGGAAGCTCACCGGGTTTGCACGGAGTGGCGCTGATGGGTGATGGGCTCCTCTTTGGGTCTGTGGCCACGGCACGCGTCCTACCTCTCCAGCTCAGTGAGGCTCAGGGCGGCTGGGGTCCCTCTGGAACCCCACCTAGAAACCAAGAAGCCAGAGAGGTGGTGGGTGATTCCAGAATCTTCTCCCTGGAGAGGGGCCCCCTCTCCCCTGCTTTGTTCTCCAAGGTTCCTTCAAGTCCTGAGATGCCTTGGATCCGTGTCGAGCTGTTGGAGTTGGAGAAATACCACTTGGCTTCACCGGTGTGCTAGAAAACGGGTTTTTAAAAGAATTCCTAATAGTGTTCTATGTTTAAAATAGGTCTAAGAAGAAGGTAGCGAATAGTCACAGCCTCTTCTCAGCAGAAGGCTCCCCCGGAAGCAGCGGAAATCAGCACCAGTCGTAATGAGTGTGGATGGTGATAAAATCTGTCTACATCAGTGGTCCCCAAATTTGGGTGTGCCTCAGAATCACCCAGAAGGCTTGTTAAGGCACAGATGGCCACCCCCCCAGGGGTTCTGATTTAGGAGGTCAGGTGGGATCTGAGACTCTGCATTTCTGTCACGTTCCCAGGTGATGTGCATGCTGGTCCCAGGAAACATGTCTTGAGACCACTGTCCTAGGGGGACAAGGCCCCTCACTTCCCTGCGTTGGGGGACCCATGAGGCCTGTCAGTCTGGGGGCCCCGCATCTGGCGTGGATGTGCAGTATTGCTGCGAAGTAGACACAGCTCTGAGGACCAGGAGGCAGGTTCAACAGATAATGCTAAGAGCCGAGCCTTTCAAAGCAGATCATTGAGAAAGAGGCGGATGCGTAGAGCCAAGCACAGGCGCTTGCAGGGGGACTTGCTCCTTGCGCAGGGAACAGTCCGTTACACCCAGCAGCCAGCGCTAATTCAGCAGAGCCCTTTCCGCGAGACGCTGCTTCTGTGAGGTCACGTGTGTCGCGCTTGCTGAGCATGAGCAAGGACATAACCTGGTCCGGATGGCAGGAGGGAAGTTGCCCCAAGAGAACTTCGGAGTCTAGAATTCAGCTCTTGGAGCTGAGTGGCAGGTGGAGAAAGGGGATGGTGGTAATATTTGCCCCAAGAGAGCTTTCAGGACCGTCTACTACGGTGCTTCTACCAGAAGGTCTGAGATGCTATCCCCCCAACTTTGCTGAGTAGGGCAGGATAAAGAAAGGAAGCCAGCGAAAGGGGATCCTAGGACACTGCTGGTGGGAATGCAGACTGGTGCGGGCACTGTGGAATCAATATGGTGTTTCCTCAAAAAATTAAGAATTGAACTGCCATTTGACCCAGTGATCCCACTTCTAGGAATATCTCCTAAGAAGCCTGAAACACCAATCAGAAATAATGCATGCACCCCTATGTTCATAGCAGCGCTACTTACAATAGCTAAGATCTGGAAACAGCCCCAGTGTCCATCAATAGATCAGTGGATAGAAAAACTGTGGCACATATACACTATGGAGTACTATGCAGCTATAAGAAAGGAAGATCTCTTATCCTTTGAGATGACATGGAGGGACCTGGAGAGTATGCTAAGCAAAATAAGCCAATCAGAGGAAGACAAATACCACACGATCTCACTCATTTGTGGAATATGATGAACAAAAAAAGCTAATGAACAAAATAGACCCAGAGACATAGAAAGGAGTATGGTTCAGACTGACAGACCTCAGAGGAGGGCGCAGGGGGAAGGGATGAGATAAACCAAAGAACTTATATGCACATATGTGCAACCAATAGACATAGACAACAGTGCTTGCGGGGTGGGGGTGGAGGGGCTAGAATGGGAGGAGGGTGTCTAGGGGGGAAAAAGGAGAAACATCTGTAACAAAAAATTAATTAATTTTTAAAAATGTAAAAAATAATAAAAAAAATATGTGCAAAAAACAAAAAAGAAAAGAGGCCAGCGTACAGAAGGCTCCTCCTGGCAGATCCCCAGCAAGAGGCCATATCTGGTAGATAAATGGGACTGGAAGTCCATTTGGGGGAGCATGGCAGCCCCAGAGCTCCTGCAGGTGCCCCCCCGTTTGTCCCCATCACACTGCCTGGTTAATATGGCCTTCTGGAGAGCACCGACCTCCTGGGTGTGCTGAGGGGGGCACGAGGCACAGGTTGGAATCCACATCTGGGCTGAAGTGATAGGAAGGGGAGGGAGGGACAGTACACACAGAGGTGACAGGGAGGTGACTGACAGAGGAGCTCAGTCCGTGCTCAGCTGCCCCTCCCACAGTGGGTCTGTTTCCACAGCACTTCTTTTTGCAAGAGAGGTTTGTGAAGGGGAGACTTGTTCCCTTAGGGATTTTCATAAAATCCTGTGGCTAAGGTGCTCTTTACACCCAGAGGTGCAGTTGTACCCGTCACCAACAGGAGCATCAGGTTGGTATGACCGGTGATACTCACATTGTGGTCATTCGCTGCTGTTTATGGAGCCCCCTCTATGGGCTTAGTACAGTGTTTGCACACACTATCTCATGAAATCCCCACCGACCCTGGGGAATAAGCGGTGTTACCCTCATTATACAGATGAGGAAATCAAGAGCCAAAGAGACAAAGTACCATGTCCCAGGTCACACGGTTGATCATCGGCCAAGCGAGGACTGGGACATTTGTCTGAACAGATGTCCCAGATGTTGTCCTTGGTTCCTGCTGTAGTCCAGGCACAGATCCAGCGGTGCTCCCAGTAGGTTGAGGCCGTTGACCTCATGGACCTTCCAAGCAGCAGGGAGTGGGTTGAGGGGAGACTATCAGTTGGATTAGATCAAGTCAAGCAGTGGCTAAGAATTCTTTTCATCGGAAGATATTACATACTTTATTTTTAGTCTTGTCTTGGATTTTTTTGTTTGTTTGTTTGTTATCTTAAAATGCAAACAGAGGTCATTGCTGTTTAATCAAAACTCTCGGTGTATTTTAATAACAAATATTTGAAATCAGGAAAACACCGTATTGCCATATAGAACTGAGTCCGGCCCTTGCTCAACTGTCATGGCAGAGAACCTTGGCTTTGAGGGTCACCCTGCCTTAGACACCACTGCCACCTGGTGGCATCCACTGGAATTGCAGGTTTGGTGGCCACAGAACTGGCCAGGTGGGAGGGAGGCTGGATCCGCCGGAAGGCACATTTCCAGTTCTGGTCACTCACACCCTCCAGGCAAGGTTGACTGACTTCCAATAGATGCCCGTTTGTTTGTGAATTGATTGCACCCAGTCGGTATCCGCTTTCATTTATCTGTATGTTCTGGATGGCTATTGTGTTCCTGACTTTTAAATTGTTATAATCAAGTCCATGCTTGCAGATATTAATGATAAAGTGACATGAAATATAGATGAATACTTGGGCAAACTCTAGAACCAATTTTTGCAAATAATAATTTCTCTTTAGTTGGACACCTTCAAATGCCATAATATAGATAGATGATAGATAGAAAATAGATAGAGATGTAGCTAGATATAAAATTTCGTTCCTAATTACCTCTCAACCTCACCTCTAACTCAAACCGCACAGGTGACAGCTCCTGAAATTTTCTAGCCTCTCTCTCACCTGCCTGCTGCCTCTGTCTGTCCTGTTCTCTCTGCCTGGAAATACCTTCTTCCATCTTTATCTTCTGAATTTATTCTTCAAATGTCAAAGCAAGGCTAGCAACCTGTGGGAAAGTATCTTAAAGAAAATTCAGAAATGACAGTGTCGCATGGCGATGTCTCTGGAGAAATGGAAGATGGGGTTCTGAGCCTCATCTCTGTCTCTGCAATAGCTGTGACCGTGGCCAGATTACTTCCTCTCTCCGTGTCTCCGTGGTTTCATCCATTAAGTGCAAAGAACAATGTCCCCCGCCCCAGCATTGTTATAAGGTTTTTTAAAAATGTGTGTAAACTGCTCAGCACTGTGCCTAGTGCCTGGCAGACAGTGGGGCACTGAAGATAGATGTAAATATCTACACCTCAACCAGTACCTGCCAGGGTCAGGAATGCTCAACAAATGTCGTCACCACCATCATCGTTGTTCTCACTGCCCGGCTGGTCTTTCTTGAAGAAAAAAATAAATGTATCTTGAGAGTTCAAAGTAATATGCATGTCCAACCTTGAACTTGCTGGGGTGATTGCTCTCCAAGGTCCGTTATGTCACGCCCATGCTGCGGGTCCTCCTCAGCCGTGAGCTGCAAAATGTACAGGTGAGGATGACAGGGGTTGAGCAATGATGCTCTTGGTGATGCTGCACCTGTGATTCGAGGCTTGGCCACTGAGATATGTCTGTAATGAGCTCTCTCTGTGTGCCCGAGTCTTAACATGTCACTCTGTTTCCCTGACCAGGTGGTCGATAGTGACAGACCAGAAGGGTCCAAGTTCCGGCTCACTGGGAAGGGAGTAGATCAAGAGCCTAAAGGAATCTTCAGAATCAATGAGAACACAGGGAGCGTCTCCGTGACACGGACCTTGGACAGAGAAGCGATCGCTACTTATCAAGTGAGTACCCCTCAAGTGCCCCTCCTGCAGGAAGAGCTGCGGTTGTCAAAGAGAGTTTCCTTCCCGCTGAGTTCATTATCCCTGTGCTGCGGCAAACCCGGCGCGGCGGGGCTGTAAGCATGCCTCTGTGGGGTCCGAGTGGTGTCGAATCCCCGCAGGGCCACAGTGGGGGCCCTACCTCATCAGTGGAGCCGCAGGCCTGCATGAGATTTGGGATACTGAAAAGCAAAGTGAAGAGTCCTGGGGTGATCTCAGGAGAGGTGCAAACTCTTGGGATAGCTTTGGCTTCCCAGAGCAGTGAAGGTGTAAAAACCCTTGGACATGATCATTTTACTCCCAGAAATCTGTCCTGAGGAATCAGGGAGAAATGTATGTAAATACCTCGCCCCTCAATCGGTGACCGCCCAGCACAGGATTGCCGAACACCTGTAGGCATCGTGGTTTTATACGGTGACTTTTATACAGCAATGTTACAGTGGCGCAGGACCCTTACGTGGAGTCAAGCGCTAAGTTTTTAGCATGAGGGCTCTTCATTAGGCACAACTTTGCAAAGCACCTGTGTGCGGCCATTTACAATATGGTCAAAGAAGTTCTTACACGGGAGAGACTCCAGACATCCGATGGAAACAGACACACAAATACAGACGGCGTCCTCATGACCCGTCACATAGGTGCGCACATGGTGGGGGGGTGCATTTGTGAAGACGCGAGATGCCGTCACGCACACCAAGGAAAATCGCAGTGTGCCTGGTTGTGTTTGGGTGTTTCTGACTCCTCATTTCGGTGTCCGTTTCCCTACAATGTATTTAAATTGCTTCTCTATGGAGACTAAAGAGCTATTTGTGATAGGGCAGCTTCGGAAGTTGGTACCCAACCGGGATACAGAGACCGGTGTGGTTGCATCCCGGTCCTCAGGATCCTGGCCGTAGAAGACAAATCGCACTTGCCTGCCTTCTCCACTGGGTGCTGTGAGTTGCAGAGAGAAGTCAGCGGGAGGCGCTGGAGGCCCCCCCCCGTGCTGGACAGATGCAGTGGCGTGAATCCTTCCGCAGACCTCATGCTAACCAGGAGGGTTCCGGGTCCGGGGAGGGGGAGGATGCCTCCAGATCTCCCCTCTCAGAGGCTCCGCCAAAGGGCGGGTGCTCTGAGCTCCTGCCGGGGACCCATCTGTCAGAGATCGCCAGAGAGGGAGCGGCGTGTCCTGGTATAGACTCGGGAGGTCTGGTTGTTACAGGCACTAAATATCGGTGTCCTCAGAAATACCCAGTCTGCTGGCCTTGATAGTAACCACAGGCGACAAGGCGGTTTTTGGTGTCCAGCTGTGGCAGGAAAAGCCAGCAGCAGGACATGGGTAGATGCCCTCTTCTCTTCCCATGACTGTCATGGGAATAGCCATTTATTCACAGACACAAGAAACTAAGGAGACAATAAATCTGATCTCTTTGTAGCACAGCGATGGCGATAAGGAGCTAGCTCTGGGGTAGCCCACTTCTAGCGGTCTCAGCACTGTTGCGCACTGGGCTGTGTGCTCTCGGGCAATGCATTTACCACTGCTGATCTGTTGATCCACAAAGTGAGCATAGTACTTACTGTCCCCTCGAAGGACTGTAAAAGATGAAATAAGATGATTTTTGCAAATGTTTAGCCGAGCATGTAGCAGTACGCCATAGCTACTCTTATTAGTTTTCTCCTGGATATTTTTAATGTTTCATTAAGTTCCCCATGTTTTTAATGTCAGGCTCCAGCCTTCAACCATGAGAAGGTTGGCATCTACCACGAACTGGGGTTTTGCCTTCTATCCTGACACGCACCCAGCATTGTGGCTTTTGTCGTCCCTCTTTTAAGTATCAGAGAGAGATTCCCGGGTGAAGCGAGATCTCGGGAACTCCCCAGTGGCTTCCGGGGGGACAAGATCAACAGTAAAGGAGATCTTCTTGGGAGTGTTCTGTCGCCTGGAAATGGGACAAGCATGAATCAGAGAACATGGGGGAGGCTGGTGGCCAGGGAGGCTGAAAGGTGCCTTCTTGGGGTGAAACCACGGGAGCTGTTTGAAGAGCTGAGCAAGAGTTTGGATGCATGCGTGGCTATCTGGTGTTTGTGGGATCCAACGTGGTTTATCAATTAAAGTCCCCCTTTTCGGAATCCTTCCACATTCAGAGAGAGACTTCTGGGCACCCTACACCGGGACCTGCCCCCGTGGGGACGGTCTTCTCAGAGGCAGGTGGCCTCGGTCTCCAGGACAGTGAGACATTCCCCTGGGGCAGTCACAGGGGCAGGGAGAGGACTCAAATGCCCACATTCAAGGAAGGACAGGGAGTGAGGAGAACGTAGTCGGCTTGGATGCCGCCAAAGGTGCCAACGAAAGACTTCTTTAAGGGAGTTTCTGAATCGGGAGGTATCACTTCTCTGTCCTCCACACAGCCGAACGCACACTGTCACACACGACTGTGCCGGGATCTCTGCACAAGGGGAGACTGAGGGATGAGCACGGCCTGGCCCAGCCCGAGGCCCACTGACCAGGGCTGCTCCGCGGGACGGGCGTGTCTGCCGGAAGAAGGCTGCCTCTTGGCATGTTATCAACGGCATCAGGCTAGGGATGAATGAAATCCACACTGATTTTTTTTTTAATTTAGGTGATTTTATTTTTATCTAAGCAATATCAAAGTGAGAAAAGTGATGAATAATAAGGGCCCTGGGGTCATAGAATTGCTGTTCAAGTCACAGCGAGGCTGCTTAGCAAGCTGTGTGATCTCGGACAATCCACTTACCCTCTCTGATCTTGTGACTGTCATCCATAAAGTGGGGATGGTACTAGAACCTGTAAGGATGGTAAAAGATGAAATTATTAGTTTTTATTAGCTAGTCATTGTTGATCTGGTAAAGTGAAGCCTAATCTCAAGCTTGGAGCTTCTCATATTTTTCCTTAAAGTGAAGCCGAATAGTGTCACAGCAATTAAAAATACAATTTTGCCCCCGGCCAGTGTGGCTCAGTGATTGGGCATTGACACATGCACCAAGAGGTTGCTGGTTTTACTCACGGTCAGAGCATATGCCCAGGTTGTGGGCCAAATCCTCAGCGGGGTCATGCAGGAGGCAGCCAGTCAATATTCTCTCTCATCAATGTTTCTCTCTCTCTCTCTCTTCCTCTCCCTTCTTCTCTCTCTAAAATCAATCAATCAATCAATCAATTAAAAATACAGTTTTGCATGCAGCCCATTCGAATCATGGCTGCTATGGACTAGCTGTGAGAACTAGGGCAGGGTGTCTGCCTCAACTTTCTCATCTGTAAAATGGGAAGAAGAATGATGCTGCTGTCATAAGATTTTAATGGGTTGAATGAGTTAGTACATGTTAAGCACTGAGGACAGTACAGAAACACAGCAAGCCCTGTACATAACCTCACTGCATGAGTGAGGTTCATCTGTCTGTGGGGGGCAAAGGAAGGGGAATGAAAACTCCAAGAGAGTGGAGCCCAGTCCGCCTGTCTCAAGCATGAACTTTCCTTCAGTAATCTTGAGATTTTATTTTATACTTTCAGAATGGATTGGTTGATCAACGTATTCCGTCTACCTGTATGTGACTGGGTACCTCCAGGGCGGGGAGCACCCTCCAAGGTGGTAAAGGAATATGCTGGGGAGCAAGACATACCAAGGTTCCTGCTTCCCTGTGGCTTCCATTCTAGGGCCTGAGCTTTGTTTCCAAATAAACTGAGTTCATTTTCTCACCAGTGTGTGCAGGTGATATGCCAAGAAGCTGTGCCCTGTCACTGTGTGGCTTGGTTTACCTGTGCCATGAAGCCACACGTGCTCAGAGCCGACGGCCGGTGTGTGGTGGGCAGGCAGTGTCTCCGGAGAGTCCCAGCGTGACAGTGGCCAAACTGCGGCCCAGCTCCCAGCCACTTCTCACTAGCCTCCCGGGGTCCAGTTCCAAATGCTATGTCCTGTTCTGCCCTCTTTCTGTCCCCTTCAGGTCCTTGCCGAGGAAGGTCCCTTCTGCTCTGCGCTTGGTTCTCCTCTCTGTAGATTTAACAAGTACGCTCTTGTTCACGTGCCCGAGCACAGGGATGGTGTGATTCCTGTCCGTTTCAAGTGCCTGTGAAGTAGTTTACTGTCTTAGTAGTACTGTTAGATCCATCATGTCCACGGTGGGCATCGTGGTCCGCAGCAACCGTGCATCTTCAGAGAATGCATCCCAGGTCTCCAATTCCCACGCTTTCTTTCCCCCTCTTGCAAATTTCAAAAGCAGAGAGAGAGAGAGCACGTGGGTGAATGGATCGCCCGTGTAGTCGCACCAACGTTGGTTGTTACTGTTCATTCTAAAGTAAAATGCTGTTCGCATGCAAAACCATGCCGTTGGGTGGACATGTCCCAACTCCAGTGAGAAAGCCTTCTGAACAAAGCCTGGGGCGGGGCACGATAAGACGTAACCAGGGATCGACTGGTCCTTGGCCCCTGTGTGTATCACCATTAAGGCTGCTGCTTACTGAACACGACCTGGCTGACACTGTGTACACGCTCTGTATACGTTCTCTTATCTAATCCGTCTCACACTAGAGACTTCAGAAGTAGTGGTAGCACCATGTTACAAACAAGCAGATAGCTGTTAAATAACTTTTTCAAGGTCTCCCAGAGGGTATGTATTGGATCTGAGATCCATACCCATTTCCCTCCACCTTCACAGCCCTGCATTTTCAATTACTAGGAAACAAGTCTTCCTGTTTGACCCCCGAATGGACTCTGATACCTAAGCTGCAAATTCCTAGGCCTCTTTTCCAGGAACTCCACTTACCGGGGCTGGGGAAGCGGGCTTCCCTGGCGAAATGATCTATTTCTTTTTAAATACCAGCCTTTCCCATGCCCCCCTACCCCTGCCCGCCCTCCCCACCCCAGTTCCCAAAAGGCCTTTCCAAGCTTCTGACCAGAAGGGGCACCTGGCAAAATAATTTCGCTCTAGCCGTATTGGAAGCTGACATATTAATGCACAGCCTCCTGAAATATTAC